ACCTTTAAATTTTTAGTTTTTTAGGCTATTTTATTAAATTATTATATATTTATCAATCTCACTAAGCAAAACATAACTATCCATCCAGAATAACAGATGGCTTACACTAACCAAATATGCAACAGTACTTCAGTAATCAATTCATTAAAAACTTTAAAATGTAACAGTTAAATAGCCAACATTTTCAATTCTTAAAATATCCAGATATTTTTATCTATGTTGAAGCCTAACGTTTGTTATTTAATTTGTTCTTATTTGTTTTCTGACTGCTTGTATTTTGTTTGATAATGGTTGAATTTCAAGCAAACATTCTTACATTATAACTTGTGAATAAATTTTAATTGCTTTATTTTACTATTCCTAATTGCCATCTAAAAGATTACTTAGAACTTACATGATGTTTAGATGGGTGAGGGTATTGTTTTCATTTTGGAATTATTAAAAATATATGCTTCTTTTAAAAATATTTTTTAATTAACAGATAAAATTGTATGTATTTATTGTGTATAACATTATTAAATGTTTTAAAGTGTCTAAAAACAACTTTAACTTCTTTGTAATAAACTTCATGATAGAAAATGAATCTCACTGGACTGGTATTACAATTGATGCCTTAGCCACAAATCTGTTTTGTGGCTTTAGGTCTCAACTTTTCTGAACGTTTTTCTTATCATTTATAAAATTCAAAATCTTTTTCCTACACTCTATGTTACATTCTAATGCTAATATGCTGTCATTTTTTTGAATTTTATTGAAAAATTCTTCTTCCCTCTTTATAGTCAATTATATATTTGCATTTTTGGATTAAACAAAAATTTATATTTTTCTACTGGCATGTTTTTAATTCTTGAAACTAAAAATTGAAAACTCATTTTTAAATTATGATGAGATAAAATGACAAACTGGTGGATGTTTACATTTAAGACATGAAACATTTATATTTTATCCACAAATTTTTTTAAAGCCACCAAATTTCAAAAATGTATCACATGTTCAATTATTGACTTATTTCACTACTTAGCTCTCTACAGGCTCTGTTTGAGTGACACACCTACCTTATGCCTGGCCTACAAATGCATTTCCTCAGGAGGCAGGGGCCATCTCCTGCACAAATTGCAGACAGTGCTTTGCCGGGAATCTGACAATTGCTATTTATATGTTTGGGTTCTTAGAATTTAATAGCATATCTAATATGTCCCTCCTCCTCTAAAACACTTCTGAAGCAAGTCACCACATTTGGGACAGTGTCTGGATGTTTTCCACCAAATCCCTTAGAAGCTCAGTCTCACTGTGGGGAAATAATTGTCGGCCTGTACCATCAGCAGACAAATATTTAAGAGAAAGAAAAGAAAAGAGAGAAATAGAACGGTTCTTTTCCCTAATTTTCCAGTTTCTCAGTGCCTTCACTATAACCTATCCTCCCGCTCCGGTCGCTCCTGCAGCTCCCCAAACCCTGAGTGGGGGCTCCTAGCACAGAGAGCCCCGTGGTGGCAGGGAACCCTCCTGAGGCACCGCTGACTAACGTGATTCCATAAATCAACTAATGGGAGAGAAACTAGATCTGTGTGGTCTCTAATGCTGTCCCACAGAGATCAATCATGTCACCTGAACAATGTTAGGGACCCACGGGCCAACTTGATTCCTTGAGCCATATCAGATTGGGATATTTTAAAAACTTACATTTTAGCGTCAGAAATGTAAGAGCTGTGAATGAAAAAACTGAAGGATTACTTTTGCAAGAGACAAAGTGTTATTATGTACCTTATTAGTATAAGGATCTCCTATGCAATCCCACGTTTCTTAAAATATCTAGGCATTTAACATTGATCATTTAGAATACATAAATTTTTTAAATAGGTTTTGTCACATAATGGGCATACCGCATCGGCAATGACTGCTTTGAACAATTAGTGGCTATTTTTAATAGAGTAATAGACTAAATGAACAGTGCCATATGTGAACATATAGTGCAAAATACAGAAAAATGAAATGCCTTATGTACATTATCACATTGATTATTATTAAGGGGTGATTTTATAAACATTTTTCTAGCATTGAGATGCTGTTAAAGTGAGACTAAGCATTAAAATGTATTATAGAAACAACTAAAGCAGTTTTAAAAGTAATGCTAGAGGTGAAGCTTTAAAAAACTGTGGGCAAGAATCCCAACACATCCATGTAAGTCTGTCTTAATTTCAGTTGACCCTGAAAAAATCCAATTATGACTCCAGCCTTTGGGATGAGAACAAGTCAATGGGAAGAAGGACACAGGGGGTTTCAAGTGGTAAATAAGAATATATGTTATGATCACCATCCAGATGTTCATTGATGCTCGTCATTTAAAGCCAACAAATATTAGCTACAAAGTTTACACCGGAAATGCACAGGTAATAGCCATAATGAGTCACCAAATCACTACCCTCACTCAACCAGGAGTCCAAGCAATCTCTAAGACATTTCCTCAGATGATGATGAACCAAATTAGGAGGGAAGCCAGGTCGGCAGGCGGACTTTTCACCTCCGTCCAATCCCTGTTCCCACCTCGGCTAGTCATATCAACCCTATCCCTCTGACAGCATGTGGCTGCTCTCTCACAGCCATGCCTGTGTGGTCACACGTGGGTTTGAGGCAGTCATGCTGCCATTGCCTCTTTTAATGACCTAGACAGAATCCTAGTCAATTTTAAGAACTTTTTTTCTTCTTTCTTTCAGGCAAACAGTGTTCCATTAATCATCTTAACCTTGATTTGCAATCCATGCTCTCTCATAAGGAAGGAGTCTGCAGCTAGGAAAAGATCTTGAGAGTTCTACAAAGGGAGAAATGTCCTTCTCTTTTTCACACCTCATCTTCTGAAGATCAACAGAATTTCATGTATGAGAATTTTAAAAAAGAAGAAAAGGTGATTTTATGGGATTTTGTAATCAAGATAATTGAGGAATCTGAAAATCACAACAAACTTGAGGGAAAACTACCAAAACAAAAAAAAGGAAATTTATGAAATGTGTTTAGACTGACACCAGCATAGAAACTTGTGCAGAAAACCTATTGGTCTTCATGTCAACTTCCTCCAGAGTGGTTAATTACTATATAAATAAGAATTATTCAGTAGTCATATCCACTACGTACCCTAAGTTGGACTACACGTAGTGCCATGGGTCTAACCAAAGATCAGGTTTAATGCCAGAACCCCATCTACAATTCTAGATACTACATTTCAATATGAAAAATAATAGCATGTAGTCCTTATCAATTGGGTACTAGTAGGAAATTTCAATATGAGGTGAATTTTAATTTCCAATGGTCCTTAAGACCCAGAGAAGCTACGAGAAATGAATCCAGAAAATAGAATTCAAAAGCTAATGCCACCTAAGAAACTACATGGATTTGCATTATAGTTGCTATTATCTTTACTTAAAGAGAATTGCCAAAGGAAATGTAATAAGTCACCCTGGAGTAAAGTTAAAGTTTCAACAAAGAGATGATTTCTCTTATTAAGAGAAATAAATGCAACATTTTGAAGGAGCTGATCATAATCAATAGTCATATCAATATAATTCTGATATTTTTGGAATCCTAAAGTGTTATCTGCTTTGATTTATACAAATAAGATATTTTAAGAAGTATATTTTCTCTGTGTTTAAACCTGTAACAAAGATCTTTAACCCTTCTCTTTATCCTTTTAAAGACCACTCCTCAGTTCTTCATAGTGAAAACTCCTCTAAACAGTGCTCACAATTTTTAAAACAATGTACAAGTAGCCTTCTTCTGACAACTTATGAGCCACTCTCACCCTACAATCCAGTCCATGGAATGTTCCCAGATGCTCAATCCACCGTCTACAGTTTTATGTATATATGAACATTTAACATCCACTCTGTGAATTTTTATCAAGGGATTGACTACAAATATTTGTCTATATGCCATCAAAACCATTTACCTGTGACTTTTCACCTTTTCCCCTTTATGTTTCGGTCAGGATATACCACATGAAATTTTCATCAAACACATCAATCTTCGAATTTAACATAATGAAAAGCCTAATTTAACGATTACTTCAGTGATCAATCACCTGTACAATGTCTGTTTTAAGCACATATAGGTAAAAGAAACTATTATTGACTATATTAGGTATCAACCAAAACTACACTTAGTGTAGAGAACAATTTTGCAACCATAAAATGGTTACTTTGTCAAATGCAGAGCCCAAAGGAAATACTTTTTGTTTTTTGACAACTTGAGTCTCAGAAATCATTCATTTACAAAACTATGTAAAACAGAATTCTTTCACCAGAATCACCATCACCTGTCCTGAAATCAACTAATTGTATCCCTTTATTTTAAGTCCCATCTCCTTAAAAACTGCAGGTGCAGATCAGCCTTCTATACTATTTCCACTTGCTCAAAAAATATCAGAGATGTAGAAAATACCATAAGAAACAGAAACATTCTGTCATGGTGAAGAGGAAAACTATTCTAGAAGGGATTAGCAAATCCTCTTTTGAATCCAGGTATTTCAGCATCAGGGATCAGCTGTATTTTTTTTTTTTTTAATGACAACATAGGCTTGTGTGCCACAAACTGTGTCTTCATTATTATAACTGGGCCACTCATAAGTCTTTCTTAGCCAATAAATGCATGCATGCAGGGTGTGATGGCATCCACTCCTCTGGGCAGAGATGCCCCCTCTTTTTTAGTAAGGGGGGGCATTTTAAGCCACCAAAGGGAAATACTGAGCATAGTGAGTGTGAAACTTCTGATGCTTCCAAACAATGACACCATTTCCCCCCCAGAGATACAAAGGAGGGCGGTGCCACGTGCAGAGCACGGGTGGGGGTGGCGGGGGGAGGCCATGCCCTGTGCGCCCCCACCCCGCCACCTCACAGCCCGAATGCTTCGGAGAAGGGGCGCTGCCTCTTGAAGCCAGACAGGAGTCCCTGCAGGGGAGAGGAAGTGAGCAGGGGAGGGGGGAGGCTCGGAAACAAGAAATCATCTCCTCTGACCTCGAGCGAAGTGCCAGGTTTTTTCTTTAGCTCTTCACATTTCCTAAATTTGCAGATCTGGTGTCCGGTTTTGCGGTTCCTGCAACTGCTGCAGACGCCGCAGTTGATGAGCCTCTTGCAGGGCACGCAGACCCCGCACCTTTTCCTCTTCTTCTTGGCGGGGGTGGCGGCGCCGGCGCCCCCCGAGGAGGACGAGGAGGAGGAGGAGTGGCTCTGCGGGCAGTCCGCCAGGTTGGCGATCTGGAAGGCGCTGTCCGAGACGGCCGCCGAGGCCGCGGCGGGGGAGTGCAGGGCCGTCATGACGATGACGCCCGGAGGTAACGAGAGGCCGCCCAGGGCGGGGATGGCGGAGAAGGTGCCCACGCGCTCGGGCAGGTTCATGAGCTCCGCGTCGGCCGCGCCGCACTTGAGCTTGTTCATGCACTCCCCCGCCAGCGGCCGGCAGTGCTCGGGGGCCAGCGAGGAGAGGAAGTTGGAGTTGGCCATCTGCAGCGCGGGCTCGGGCGCGCAGCCCGCCTTGCCCAGGCGCGCCGCGTCGCCGCGGGGGTGCGCGCCCGTCCTGCCGCCGCCCGCGGGCAGCACGGCCGGCGAGGCGCGCGGCGGCGCGGCGGCGGCGGCGGAGGAGGAGGAGGGAGGAGGAGGATTTCCTGCCCGCCGCCGCGCCGCCGCCGCCGCCGCCCCGCCGCTGCCCCAGAGCATGGCGGTGGCGGCGGCGGCGGTGGCCGCGTTGTCGCAGTTCCAGGGGGACATGCCGATGCGCGCGGCGGCCGCGGCGGCGGCGGCGGCGCTGCCCGGGAAGATGGGGGTGGTGATGCGCGCGATCTTGGCCGCCTGCGGGAAGGCGCCGCCGCCGGTCTTGTAGAAGGAGGTGGCGAAGGAGCGGTAGCGCTCCACCTCCGAGTTGTAATCCACCAGGCTGTTGAGCGCGCCCTCGGGCAGGTGGCTCTCCTTGGGCAGGCCCGGCGCCTCGGGGCTCGGCCCCGGCTCCACGCAGACGTTGGTGTTCATGGTGCAGGGCGGGAAGAAGGGGTGCAGGGTGGAGGTGGGGACCGCCGGTCCGGCCGGGTGCAGGGGGCAGCGGGGGAGGGGCGGCGGTGGCGGGGGAGGGAGAGCGAGACGAGGGCTGCTTTTATTCCTCTCCCGGGCGCATTTCCACAGACGGCGAACCCCCAGGCAGCGTCTTCCTTCGCATTATCCTCCAACTGTCACAACTAAAATAAAGAAAGTCATTCCAGCGCGCTGCGCGAGGAGAGAGATTAAAGATAAACAAACAGCCGCCGTCGCTGCCCCACCGCAGACCCCGGCCGCTCCCCCCGGCGGCCGCCAGGTCGTTTGCACGACAATCGCCGAGACGCGACCCCACTCCCCTCCCCCGCGCCGGCCCCCGCCCGCCGCGCGAGCGCAGCTCCTCCCCGTCCTCAGCTCCCTCCCGAGAAACGCGTTAATGGCCAGGGTACGGGAGCGGGAGCGGGGTGACAGGCGCCGAAGGGAAAGGGCAACCCGAGTGCTAAAGACATGCAAATCACGGGCGGGCGGGCGACGCCACCTATAAGCAGAGGGCATTTAAACGTTATGAAACGTGCGAGCAACTGCTGCCTGGGCATGCAAATGCTGGGAAGTAGAAAACAGCGATGGCCCTAGGAGGAAAATGAACAGGAAATTAGCAAATGAGGTACTGAGAAAGTCTACAGCACATCCGAGTATCAACTGTAAGCAAACACAATACAACTGAGAGCTAAGAAACTGCCACGTACAATCTGAACTAAAGAGGCAGGGGGAAAAAGAACTACCAGCTGCCACAGTGTCCTTCTGTGTCTGCAGTCATTAGTGTGAATCCCAGCACAGCTGGCTCTGTTAGGGTCTTAATTCAATGGACCAAGGACAGGTCTCAATTGTACAAGCCATTTGGTTGTGGGGCTTGGGGGAGGGGGTGGAATAAGAGGATGGTGTTCTACTTGTTTAAAAGAAAGGAAGAAAATGATGGACTAGATAAAATTAAAAAATGAAAAATATAAGCAATGTCACAGGTTTTAAGCCAAGTGCCTGCCTACAGGCGCTGTAAGAATATTCGCAATCATCCCTAATGAAGATTGCTATCTCTTCCCAAGACAAGAGGGAAGCATGGGGCTTTTAAAAAAGAATTTCTCACAATCACTGATTTTTTACACTGAAAAAGAGGGAGAAATCTCTTAAGGCGTTGTTCATCTGAAGAAATGACCACTGAAATGATTTTCTTCTTTTGCTCTCTTTAGGAGGAAAGTTAATGTTAACTGGGTATTTGCATCCAACTGTTTGCTTCCAGGCCATTATTATGCTTTAGGAAGAGGTATTTTAGTTGTTTATTACAGAGGGAGAAGCACATCACAGTCTTTTAGGAAGTAAAGCAAAGACATAAAGTGTATATTCACCTAAAAAACCAGTTTCTTTGTTTCCAGATTTTTTTGCCAGAATATCTTTTTGTGACATCTTGGAAGTCCACAGATTGGTCTAGAATGTGGAGTGCAGGGAATTCCTCATGGGGGCCCAGTAGTCTCTGTCTCAAATATTCAGAGTTCAAAATGGTTATCAATTATAGTAATTATGCTGCTAATTAGATTAACAACGAGCAATTTGTGCCCAAACTCGAAGTGCAAAAACTTCAAGACCTACTGATGAGGTACCCTAAAAAGAGGGGTTTATGTAAACAAATCCCTATTAGGCAAAGTAAATCAAGATAAGGAACCTCACCCTAGGCTGGATTAGAAGCTAGCAGGCATCTTTCAATCACAGCCAGTCTCTAATCACTCGGGAACCACCTCTGTGGTTTCCCATTAGGGAAAACTGCTCCCTTCTGAGGTCTGATGGCTATACAAAGCGCGCCCCAAAATGCTCCTGGCTAAATATTCTTGATGCCTAGAAGGGGTAGGGGAAGACACAGCAAGAACATGCTTGTAGCTTCAGTTTCTGAGAATCACATTGTAAATGCAAGACCACAATAACTGCTACTTAGTAAAAACTAGTTATGCCAACCATGCATTAAATATCATCACCCTGAGTAGAGGGGGAAATTTCAACATTTTAGTCTTTGACCTTGTTCCAAATAAAGAAATAATTCGATGTCCCTTTTTCAGAGTCTTAGAGTGGTGTTTCCAAACAGAAGCTTTCCTTGCTTTTCTGATTGCCATCCCCTCCCCCTTTGCTACCTCAAGGTTTAATGCCAGCAGAAACTGTAGAAAATGATTATGCCCAGTATCCAGGTCATTATTGTTTAGTCAATGCATCTCTGGAGCATGAAAAAAGGGTACCTATCCCACAGCTATTGTTTGGATTTTATTTAAAAACAAAATAAAATACATACAAATAACTATAGTCCTATGGCAAAGCTAAATCAGAGATCCACACTTCATGATCCTGTTTTGCCTTCACACAATGTAGCTAGCTGTACATGCCTGTATGTCTGGTCTACCAGAGACACAGAGATCAAAGGTCATATTTAACATTCAGGAGGAGGGGCGGGTGCAGATTAATTAATAAATTAATACAGCGACGCTTTTTATTGCTGGAGTCCAGCATTAATATCTACTTTCACAATCCCCAACGGACAGCAAACATTTAAGAGAAAAAAAAAGCCAGAGAAAGAGAAAGAACGATCACTTACCAGTCTCTTTTTATTTGGGGAAGCCTTAGAATTTGCAGACGCTGCCAGTCTGCCTTTAATTAGTTGCACATCACCCCTAACACAAAGAAACACAGATCCAGATCTGTCTTGGCAGCTCCCAATTACAACTTTAATACTTGTAAACAAACTGTTGGGGACCAGGGGTGGGGGGTGGGGGGGATAAATAAATATGCGGATCAAAAAAAAATACCTGTAAATGGCTTTTTTTTTCTTGTTGCAGAGAGGAGGAGGAGGAGGAGACGGTGTGAGTGGTGGGGGCGGAGGAGGAGGAGGTGGGGGCGGACGAGCCGGGCGTGCGTGTGTGCGAGCGGGGCTGTCGCCGGTGGTCTCTGCCGTCCCCGCGCGCTGCTCCCGTCCGCCGCGGCCGCCGTGTGCGGGAGGAGGAGGAGGAGGAGGAGGAGGAGGAGGAGGGCGCCGCGCCGCTCCCCCGCGCCCTGCGCTGTTTGTGTGCGCGCGGCGGGGGAGGGGCGGGGGGAGGGGCGCGGGCGCGGGCGGTGCGGGGACGCGGGGCGCGGGCACCTCCGGCGATTGGCTGCCCGCCGCGCGGGGCCGGGGCCGGCCGGGGCTCGCGGCGCGGCTCCTCCCAGGCGGGCGCGGAGGCCGCCGGTGATTTATGCCTCCGCTCCCGGAGACAGCGTGCGCAGGCACGGGAGGGCGTGCCGCTTGGGCGCCCCCCCCTGAACTGGGGGAGGCTGCCCATAAACTTGTCTGCGCGTGCAGAGGGGCAGTGCGAGAGACGGAGTTTTAAAAAGGTCATGTTTGCAGAGTGCTCTCAGTTCACCCCCTGCCTACCGCATAGGGCTTTGAATAATTTCCCTGGTGTGCCTAGGAAGACTTTTCTTTTTTTAAATCATGATCCTTTAGATTTTTTAAATAAGGGGAAGCGGATCTGTGTTCCAGTGGTTCAGACCCTTGAAATATTATGAAGCCAGAACGTTAACAAATGGATGACGTGGGGGCTTGCCCCACCTCACAGTCTCCATCTCGGTCCCTGCCTCCTTCCCCGCCCCCGACTGCTCCATCTGGGAGTTGCAAAGATTCAATTAGATTTTTTAACTCACTGCCCGGTTTTTAATTCCAAAGTTTACTTAAGCAAAAACTACTTTTATATCTAACTCTTAAGTTATCCCAGAATGTGATTAGCATTTCACTTCTTGTCGCTTGGGAAAAAATGGTTTTGTTAATGGAAACATAAGTCATTTTACCAACAGGTCAAAACTCATTCATAAATGTAGCCACGAGATGTTTCTGAATACGTGTTTCCTACTATTAAACTATACTGGAGTAGAAATCGTTATAAAATAAGATATGAATTATGAATATCTTAAAATAATTTTCTCTAAGAGAAAAAATCAGTGGCTAATGATGTTATAGAGTAGGAAAGAAAAAAAATCAGTGCTTAGTGTTATAAAACAGAGTAAAAGTTTCAAATCAAAACTAGATTCCAGGGTAATGCAATAGCGTAGTTTCAGAGAAGGAAGAAAAGTGCCCTCATGGCTTCTTTTTAAAAAGGAACAAAATGCTTTAAAGACATTTGAATTTTCAAAAGATTGACGTTGACCATACCAAGATTCTGCCAACTATAGACGATAAATTGTTGACAAGATGTGAAGAACTGGGGTGTGTATAAATGGAGGTGCTGTTTTGAAAGTGGGCAACTATTGTGATAGAGGACAGATGTGTTTTGTGACTCACTGATAATATAAAAATGTTTTGTCATTTTTTAAAACATAGACTATATTTTATTATAACTGGTTATTTGGCATTTATAGACCAAATAATGGGATAGTTAGTAGTTAATTCAGTTAATAAGATATTTTTATACTTGTATTAATGCCTTGTAAAAGCAAGGAAGGAAATTTTCCATTTGATATATATATATATATTTAGCTGAGAATCATAGGAAATTTATCAGGAAAATGTAGTCACTTTTAATGAGTGAAAACATTGTAGAAAGATGATAGATTCTTAAACATCTTTTCAAAATATTTAAAATATCAGTCCAATGTTACAAGTTTTGAAGTTTATAAATAAGCAATGTTTTTAATTAAATAAAGGCATCATGCTTTCTCATGCCAAATTTTCTTTTCTGGAAATTTTCCTTTTTGGAAATTCCTTTTCTCGTGCTTTCCATTTTGGGATTCTTCAAGCTCAATTTCAAAATGAAATCTTAAACAAATGAGAGAAAATATGCTCTAAATTCCAAAGAATTTTACTTTCTGGTTGATAAAGGGAAACTACAGAACACTTAGTCTTAATAAGAGCTACTATTAATGACCCATGTGTCAGACACTGTACTAAGTGATTTGCAGATATTTTATTTTGTCCTTGCAACAATCCTGTGTGGTAGTTACATATATATATATATATATATATTATTTTTTTTTATTTTATAAATAAAGAAATTGAGGCCCAGAGAAATTAGGTAACCTGAATTAGGTCATGAAGTTAGCATGTAACAAGTGTGAAATTTGTACCCAGTCTGTCTACCTCCAAAGCCTTGTGCTTATAATCTCTACCCTAGTCTCACTACCAGTAATTATTAACCTTCTCTGGATACTAGAACCTTAGGTTTAATTCTGACTGTAGGCCCTTTATTGATATGACATTAATTGAACGTATAGAACAAATTATAAACAATATACTCCATGGCTCTGATACAGCATCCATGGCCTTTCCAGTAGGGGACCAGGCTAAGGATCCTTGCATCCTTAGCCAAATGTGATAGGGGAAAAATCTCTTTTCTGCTTTACCTCACAGCCCTTAATTTTTTATACTAGTGTAGACACTTGCAAATCTACCATGTCTCACACTAGTCTATGTCCTATATTATCTGCTTAAGGATGATACGTGAGGGTTTTGATATAAAAATTGCTGAGAACAGTCAGTTCTCTGTTAACTCTATTAAGGATCCACAGTTCTATGAAGCACTAAAACATAATAAAGTTTGTTTCCTCTGCAAAACACCCACTACAGCTTCCAGTAATCTGGGATTGGTTTGTGCCTTTACTCTGCTTTCTGTGTTTTGTTATCTGAAGTAAGAAACAGTACAGGGGTTTCATAGGTGTCATGATAGGGAAATTAAAAAAAAAGAAAATCCAACTTAAGTCTCACCTGAGAAAGTATCCCCACTCTGCATAAATTCTGTGTTGTGTTATGAAATACCTTTAAAGTACAGCTGCTTTCCATCATGATCATGATCAAAATTGTCATCATTATCCCGGAATCTCTAAAAAGGTAGCATATCCTGTTGTCACAAATAGACTCTAAAATGTATCAATGCAAAAACCACAGGAGCTTATTTTTTGCTCATGTTAAGAGTCTAGGGTGGGACTTTCAGGTCAGAGGCCACTGTCCTGCATGAGCTATCCATGCATCTAGTTTCCTTCTCTCTTGGGGCTTTGCCATCCCCAAAGACTGTTCATCAACCTATCAAGCTGACAGAGGGGCATGGAGGAGACACGATAGTTTCTTAAAGACCTTGGTCTTGAAGTGGCTTTGGAGGTAGACAGATTTGGTACAAATTTCACACTTGTTATGTGCTAACTTCATGACCTAATCCAGGTTACCTAATTTCTCTGGGCCTCAATTCCTTTATTTATAAAATAGAAATAATAACCACCTCATAGGGTTATTGCAAGGACAAAATAAAGTATCTGCAGATTACTTAGTACAGCACTGCAGCTCACATGCAATTGTCATGAACTAGTTAAACCCCACCCCTAACTGCAAAGACTGCTGGACAGCTGCTTCCTAGATGCCACTCCACTGCTATGGAGTTGAGACACAGTTTTGGTAGACAACTAGCCATCTTCCAAACAGAGTAATAGTAGGAGAATAATCTGCTGAAGACATTAAGCAGAGCACAAAGCCCTAATCTGACTTTGAGAATCTTCTTCCCCCCTGGGAGTAGTTTGGTTTTTTTGCTGTTTACTGCCCTTAGAGATTACCACTAAAAGCTAAAAATAGTTGTAACGACTTTACGGAAAGTTTGGCAACTATGAACAAATTATGCTTTCTTAAAGACCTATAGGGTAGCCAAGCCAAGGTTAGAATATTCAAACAAGAATTTACCAAAGAATAAAGAGAGCAGGAGTCATAGAATCAGAGGAAATACCATAAATCTAAAATAAACTGACTTGGAGATAAATGTTGGGCACTGGCAGCTTGTCTGCTGGTGTTTTCAAAACCCAGAGGTCACTTTTAACCACCCCCTCCCTCCACCAGCACCGATGTCCTGCTCCCTATTAGTCACAAGAAAATATCCAATGTGCAGGTCTGTAGAGGTGTGTGAAGCTCTCTCTCACCTCATATCTGAGAACCCCCATCCCGATTCATGCTCATGGGCCCTGAGGACTACCTCTTTGCATAGAAATTCACATATATATACTAAATAATCACACTTATCGTAGAAGGAATATACCAATACAACAAAATAAGAAAACATGTCTTTAACTCTTCTTTGACTATGACCAAATCCTCCCTGGAATTTTTTACTTTATTTCCTTACCAGAATTTGAGTCTTAAGTCAGGGATTGCGTGTTACCCAGCTTTGCTGCCAGCCACAGGGTGGGTTCCTGCGACATTCTGCGCCAGGAACATTGAAAGGAGCGTACACAAGGCGTGTGGAAGTGGCTCCCCTTCGTCTATAGGATCAAAGTGCAGAATTCACAAAATGAACTGTGCAGGACCCTCCTTCAACTGTCCCTGTCTTTCGAATCTAATCTCCTTTTACTCCTAGGAATTCTCTACTCCAGCAAGTCTACTTCTCTCAGAAAACATCATCTGTCTTATAACCAAAAGGGAAAACAAATCTTTAATTAATAAAGAACCATGAGCTAAAATGAAATACTGTTGTTTACGTAAAAGAAACTATTGCATATGATGAATTATTGCAATATAATGAAATATTTTTAAATCCCTTAGCTGAACATTTTTAAGGTTATTTTCAGAAGTTTTTGTGGTAGCTCCACAAATGAGATTTGTTGAAACTACTTCTTAAAGTCAATATATTCTGCACACCTGTTATTTTCTTTCACTTCTAGTTAAGTATGGAGACATCATTATCACAATGCTGACCTTCGTATTTGAAGCTGGCACTTTTAACCTGCCAGCACACTAGGTCACGT